ACAGTAAGCGGACTTCTCTTCTAAACAAGCATGATACCGAGACTGACTCCTACAGGATATGGATATCTACCGCCGTGCGAATGTTTTCGAGCGTGTGCTCTCCTTCTATGACTCACCTAGTGTTGGGGTCTCTGCCAAAAGGAAGATTTTGCATCTCCTGTACCGGTCGACACAGGTCGGAGGCAGTACAACCTTAGTTACCAGGGCAGGCGTTGTCAGCTGGATTCAAACCCAGCTCCCGGTAGTGAATGCTAAAGAGGCTGCTACCTTTGCAGCCATGGCCGACACCTTGCGTCTAACAGCGGACCAGGACCGAGTCACGAAATGGAGTGGAGGGGCAGTGGCTCAGGTTATTGAACATATTGCTGGGTAGATGTTCTTGGGTTTTCTTCTAGGAGTACTTAATTGATCCTTCATTTACATCCTCTTGGGATTGTCTCGCAGGTTGTCTCGAATTGACGGGGTTCTCTGATGTATTGTGAGCGATGCCATATGCTCATTTCTTGAAGAGAAACCATTCACCATTCACTATTCCTGCATGTATATTGTAGACGCTCTACAATAAATATGCAGTTCTCCTGCTTGGCATACTTTCGGCTTGATAACGTCTCGCTCGCATACTAGGTTGTACATCATGTAGTAAGATAGTTAAAGTATCTTTTTAAATAGCAAGTATAACATTGAAAAGCAAATGACTCAATGTTTTTACCTTAGCTTTGAGGCATTTTTGGAGTGGGAGGTTGCACTGGCAAAGGTGAGAGCTGAGCTGAGCTGAGGCTGGTTGATATATGCTGGCCGCTTTTACCCCTTTGGGCAGTGCAGACTGGGACGAAACGTTTTGCGGCCGAACGACTTTCTCCATCCCGACCTCATCATTCTCCGCCCGCACCATCGACTGCTCTCTTTACCATTCCCCTTGACTCAAAAGCCTTCCGTTGAAATTGACAGTGTGACCATATTATCTACTATTCAGATTATTCTCAGACTTACCCTGTCGAAGCAATTCCAAAACAAAACTATCCTTGTTACCCCTCATCCATTCCCAAGCACACTCTGATCCTTCACCGATTTCACCTCCACCTGCCGCCTTGCCACTGGCAAGTGGCCTCGCTTTTCATTTGACCTTTTATTCTTCGAAACCCCATTTCAGTCGATTGAGAACATCTTCACTCAGCGATCTATCCTCAGCTCACGAAACTTATTCCTGTCGGCGACGCTCGTGCCTCTCGAAGGTGTGAACCAATGAGCACGCGGTAACAATCTGATCATCATATCACACACACACTGCCATCCTTATGGCGCGACGTTACCAGATCGATGAGCTGCTATGGCTGCGCTCATCGCCTCTGGTCACTAAGCCCACAAATCTACCACCGGTAGAAGAATGGATGGGGTAAGAACAATATCGCTCGCTTCAAGTGACCATGCTTATCTCGCTCGCTTTCATGATACTGACGATTCTACTCATTATCAGCCCGATCCCTGACCCAACAACGCAACGGAAACCTACAAATTCTAGAGACCCTACGAATCCAAACGAAACAACGCCTAGGAGACCAAGCCTATTCGAGAATCGCCATATCTCAAGAAACTCAAATTCTGGTAAATGACGCCATTGTCCACCTTTCCATATGCCAAGACTAGCTAACCCGGGGCTGTTGTTGAAGAGGATATTGTTCTCGGGCCTCCCAAAACTGCTTTCGCATCTGCGTCTCGCATATCCGGTAGCAAAGGCTCGATAGATTTCACGGACCGTCCCTCCCGTCAGGTGGAGCCTGATGAGGCATCAAGCGAGCGCTTCAATTTACGAGACAAGTTCTTCAAGGACAGGGAAGCCGGAGATAGAGACTTTGATCGCCGTGATGGTAAACCAACGCCGTTCAACGGTCGTCGTGGGGAAAGAGAAGAATGGAATAACGGACGGCCGCGTCGTACTTTTGGCCAAGAGGATCAAGACAGAAAGCCCAGACGCAATGTAGAATTCGACCGTTGGAACCGTGATCAGAGGGAGCAGACTCTTGAGCGAGGAGTGAGCGAGAAAGAAGGACAATTTACCCCTCGGAAAGATGGTACGCCGGGTCGGGCCAGACATGAAGGAAGCTGGTTTCGTAATGACAACGCCCAAGATGGACCAGAGACAGAAGACGAGAAACTTTCAGTGCGGAACAGAGATTGGCGCCGAGATAGACATGGTGCAGACCGCGACTGGAATCGAGGAGCCAAGTTTGAACAGGATCCTGAGTGGATGGACGCGAATGACAGAGATGAGTCGCGTAAGGTGCATACGCAAGAAGATTTTGAGCGCTGGAAAGAGCGAATGAAGGCCGGCTCTTCGCAAGCACAAGTGGAGGAGAAGAAAGAAACTCCCTCCGAATCGGCTGCCAGCAGACCTGCGCAACCTGCGCAGCCCGCGCAACCCGAACACCGACCCACGGATGGCGAAATATTCAGTAGCAACGGTGCGACTCTCCAGTCGGATTCAGCGATGGAGCGTTTCTTTGGACTCCTAGGTGATGCAAAGCCCGCTCAGGAGGTCATCACACCCGCCTCCATCGAAATACCTAGCAAGAAAGAGCCAACACCGGGAAAGCCTGGAAAGTCGTCTCGATTCGCCGGCTTGTTTAGTCCGCCTCCAGGAAGCCCAGCGAAGGAATCGGAGCACCAATTTGGAACCAGATCACCAGCTCCCCAACCTCCGACCAATGATGCAGATCAGGAAGGGTTCCAGCGCATCTTACAAATGCTTGGAGGAAGCAAATCGCGCAATGCGACACCCCAAATCGACAGTGCACAGGCCCCTCGCCCAACCATGGCGCAAGTGGATTCAGCTCTGAGTGCTCTCTCTTCTCCTTCAAAGGACTCGGTGAAACGGCCAGAATACATGGCGATGCCGGATGCCCATCCTCACAGCACGGCTCCCACAATTCAAGAAAACATGCACGCACACGACTCCCCTTTTAAGGACTCTCAGCCTCGCGACAGAGAGCATCTTCTTCGTTTAATGCAACAGGTTAGAGTGAGTCCGGTCGCTCCACAACCTCACGGACTACACGGTCAACCTCAAAGTGCCGGTCCGGCGCCTGGTTTAATGAATGTACCGGAAGTATTGTCCCGCCCCCCGGGCATCCCGACTGCTCAGAAAGGACACAATTTCTTGGATGACCCCGCAATTGCCAACATGCAGAGACCAGATGCTGATCAGCTTCGGAGAAGACCTGCCAATGGACCGCCCATGGGTTACTTTGATGAGGTCCCATTTCCCCAAGGCGGTCATATGCCAATCACCCCAGGCGGCTCCAGGCCTCCTCAAGGGCAGGGCCATCCTGGCATGGGTATTCAGCGACCACCGGGATTTGAGCATCTTCCGCCTCCAGGATGGAATGGTCCTCATGTGCCTCCACAGCAGGGTGGCGGCCCCAGCCCCTTGGTTCCTCCTCCCGGCATTCCAACCCCAACACGAGGTGTCAACCCGAACTTCATGATGCCGCCCATGCATGGCAATGTTCCTCCCCCCAATGAACGCCAGCTTTTCCCACGCGGTGCGGGCGGCCCCCTTCCACCAGGGATGATGCCCCCTCCTGGTTATATGAACGTGCCCCCGCCATCCGCTTTCCCGCCTATGCCACATAATAGTGACGCTCTTCTGGGACTTGGTCATGGTGGACAGGGACCTTTTGAGGGTAACCCCGGCCCACAAGGACCTCCTCCATCCTCCAGACATCTTTTGGACATGTTTGGCCAAGTTGGCGGCCCAGGGCAGTTCAGGTAGACGAGTACGCGCTGACCAACCATACCTCAAGCGTGCGCAGACCGTAGTTCCTGAGAAGCCATGATACCCCTTTGCTGGAGCATTTTGAGCTGGTTTTGTTGGTTCGTTTGCAATTTCTTAGCTAACTTATGCTGTTTTTTACCCCCGTTTCACTCTTATGCCTCGCAAAGGGGGTATTATGGTCTCACTGGAATAGCTTTGCCCCAATGCTGCGAGGATATTGTTCGAGTAAGATTTATGACGAGATGATCGTCCTCTCGACTTCAGTCTCTCGAGGATTGTATGTGTCATGGCAATAGTGATCGTGATCGTGATCTACTCCTGCTAGTTAGCTTATGAATCTCGATCAACTACATGGACGGTCAGCTCTATCCAAGGTGTTGTGCGTAAAATCTATCCTAAGTATGAGGAGTGTCCTTGAGACTTGGTAACTTGTCGCTCCCGGTAGTATTTTCTGCCAGTTGTTTCGTCTACAGTCAAGGACAAACCACCGAAAAGAAAAGTGTGTCACTGAGCATGTCCTCATGCGTGAGCTCTCTAATGTTCTTCCTCATATGAGTTCTTCCTCCTATGACTCTGAATCGCCGGCAATCTGGTTGTCACTCAAGCTATGAAAGAGTAACTTTGAACCTTGAACTGGCTCTAAATCGCAGACAAATTGATCATAGTGTGTGAAATGCTGCACTCTATCCCAAGGTCCGGACAGCGTTACTCCACCCTCTTCCTCTCTCTTCTAGTCTTCTCACTCATGTTTACAAGCTCGCATCCTTTCATCTCCTAAATCAAGCCTGGCATCTCTTCGTCTCCTCAGAATTGAAGTAAGTACTTCAAACAGCGTTCTGGTTCGAGAGCCTGGCACTAGATCGTCCACTTCATCCACACTGATTGAATACACAAGCGCTCTGTTCTTGCATTTTGATCAGCATTTGTCTGCTCTTTACTGTTATCATGTCATGTATGATTCAACGAAACAATCTTCCTTTAAGTCGGGTACGTCGCAGCTAGAATATCTCCCAATCCTTTTCAGGCCTGCACACAGTCACCGACTACGCAGTCACATCCCCTCAACTCGCAAAATTCCTGACACATAGCACTCTATCCTTTCGTCTTTTATGGCTGAAATGCTGGAGAACGACCGTGTAGAGTCTGCAGACATGAAATGCTTCATCACTGAGGACTTTGCCCCCCAACACCACTAACTTGTCATTTCCTGCAGTCATCTACGCACACAATGATGGACGAGGTAGATTTTGAGCTCTGTTTGAATGTAGATCAAGTGGTGAGTCGTAATGGCCTTTATGACATCAAGATCATGCTGATACCAAGCAAATGACACAGGCAACTGGCTTCCCCCGCGAGAAGAGAAAACGTTGCCCTGTACAGAATAATATCACCAACTCCATAAACAACAACACTCCGCGGGTAGGAACATATAACGTGATTGGAGACAGTACTGCAGACGAGAGCTCCATAACCCCAATTCCACCGGCCAAGAGAGCAAGGATATCCCAATCCGAACTTCCGTACCAGACACAATCCACGAACGCAAGTCATCAGGGCTCAGGGCCGCTGCTGTATTCTAGTCAGCTTTTCAATCATTATACGGGTTTCTTTAGCCTTGATAGCTATCAGCAAGGTCAAGTCGATGCGAATGGCGTCTTGCCTGCTGTGCCTCGCCGGGCTATGAGCGAAGAGATAGACATAGACATGATGGATATGGGGAGTGAAACGGAGACACAGGCTGAGACAGAGGCGTCTCCTGAGAGGTTCCATGGGCAGTGTCCGATTCATTCGTTTGGTACTTGGCCAAATTCCTCTTCTAGTGGAGGGCTTAGAAGCTTCTCTTCGCAACGCAACAATTTGCCGAGCATGTTTCCCATCTACGAGGATCCCGTGGATATGGAGATTGAGAGTGTCTTCTGCGGAGAGGATTGGTACTCTTCACCCGACGAAGACAAGGAAAATGTTGAGAATGGCCATGAGCAAGGTAGTATTTTGCAGGAGATGGATTCGAACTCTGTTGCAGACTATCAACGGGGGTGATAAATCCATGAGTTATGATGTGGAATGATCTTATGTGGAAGGCAAATTGCTGTAATAATATTGTTTGGTAACCATTATATGTTAGGTATGCAAACGAGAACTGAACCAATAATCAAAATTCCATATGCTAGCAATATGTGGAATCCCGAAATAACCAAAGAAAAGACCAATAGATAGCGCCAAATAACCATAAGTGCATCTCGTTCGTGTTGGAGTATTGAGTTCCAAGCACTGAGAACTAAGTTGAGGAGCCCATGCCTGTATCGCCTGTATCACCTGTATCACGTTCTTTGCCCTTGGGTCCTTTACCCTTTGATCGTTTCGCCGCGCCTTGCAGGTTGCCTTTGGTACCTTTGTCGCCTTTGTCGGCTTGTTTCCCCTTGCGGCGTACCTCGACTCTGATGCCACCGTTTTCTTGCACCTCGACTTCTGCGAACATTTTAAGAAGGTCAATAATCTTGTCGCGTTTCTGCAATGCTTCTTCACCAATGGTGCTGTTGATATTGGCCGACTTCTTCGTTTGTAGCTGGAGGATGTAGTCGTCAATCGTGTTCTGGACGATGATTTTGACGATCTCCACCACTTTCTCTTGTCCTATTCTGTACAGTCGACAGAACGCCTGAGATAATAACCGTTAAAAAGTATATTCAACGATCGTCCCATAAACGGATGCGTACCTGCTGCTGCATGGCTTCGTTCCACCAAAGATCCACAAGGATACACTTATTTGCCATGGACATGTCGAGCCCTGTACCGCCGGCCATGAGGCTTGCAATCATGACTTTCACTTCTCGCTTCTCCCTGAAGTCATTCATACTCAAGTCGCGAGCTCCAGTTGACATCTTTCCCGTCAACTATCTTGATGTTAGTGCGCCCTGAAGACAGCTCATCGAAAATTGAAATAGCAAGGCACTTACACGACAGTACGCCCAGCCTTCCTTGGTACATATCGAGGAAAAAATCCGAACGAAGTCAAGAAATTGCGTGAAAACAACTACTTTGGCACCTGGGTCTTCTCGAATCCAATTAGCGACCAATTCCCGAACCTTATCAACCTTTGCACCAGGCATTCCCCCTTGAGTGGCTGAAATCCAATCTAGCTCCTCTTCTTCATTCTGCTGTTCATCATCCGTTTGTTTCATTCGTGATCGATGTGCGGCGGTTACGAACATCCGACTACCAAACAATCTGCTTGACTTTTTCTGAGAAGATGGTTTGGTCCTTCTGCTGTCGGTGTGAGTCAGAGTGGAAGGGACCGACGGCTCATCGAGAACGATACGTTCGGCGGTGCCGCAATATGCAGCCTCCGCGATAGGGTTGTTGCATGTTTGACATATTGGCTTTCCATCCTCAGAAGTGACACTATTCTTGAGAAAGAAATAGCATTCTTCGCAATACAGATGCATGCAGCTGGTGATGATTGGACCTATTGGAGTTAACTGGCAGTGTGGGCAGCTGGTTCTTCTCAATCGCTCGTCCCATTGCTCGTCCTCGTGAAGCTCCGTAGTGAACTTGTGAAATTGTTTAACAAGCTCTTCTCTGTCTCCGTTAAGCTCATTCCTCGACAGGCTCGGATCTTCGTTATCTGGCGGTGCGGCGGGCAGAGAAACTCCTTTCTTCAAAGTAATAAACCATTTTGTTATTTGGTTTGAAGGATGGTCAGGATCTCTTGTTTCTCTTGCAATTTCGACAAGATCTCTCATAAAAGACGCGGTCAATAGCCGCTTGACAAGATTTTGAGTTGTGAGCAAATGACTAGAGATCATTCTTAGTTTCAAGATCATAGTGAGAAAGCACCGACACTGTGCGAGATACGGATTCGTGTCATCGCTGAGACCTTCACCAAGAGATTGGTCAATTCATGCACGCGTCAAAGCAACAGGTCAAAAACACGTACCATTGATATTTGAAATGAATTTGTCGAGAACCTCGTCGTAAATTCTTCTTTCTACATCACAAAAATCTACCTTGATGACTGTCTCGCCGATATCAGGTAACTTGATGATAGGCAACGAGAAAAGTCGGCTGGAATGCGTCCGACGGAGGAGATATGTTCGACATAGGTTCCGAAGGCGCTGCTGGGCTTCATCGTCCTGTTGCATACTTGTTAGAGGTTAATAGGGTGACAAGAGGGACCACTTATACCTCGCAATAGCGTTTTACGAACTGACTGTAATCATTCGTGTCTGGATACTCCAGGAAATCGAAGTGCGGATAGAACTCAGTGATGAAGCTGCACTCGGCCTATTAGCACTCTGGTATCTCGATGTAAGAAGCAAGAATACTTACTTAGGCACGGGTGTTCCACTCAAAATCCATTTGTGATGGCCAGTGAGAGCACGGACAGCGATTGACGTAGAGGCAAGATGGTTCTTGATCGAATGTCCCTCTGAGTAGAGACAGTTAGTTACAAATGAAAACTTGGCAATTTTCAGAAGCTTACCATCAAGGATGATCCTCAAGAACTTGATCTGATGTAATGGCCCGATCTCTTTGGCGTAGAGTTCCTCCCACATCTCAACGATCTTCTTTTCATCGAGAACCTCATCTCTGCGCTTTAACTGCGGATACGAGCGTCTGACCTCGTCGTATGTCGTAATTCTGATCACCAAATGAGTTAGTCATTTGAGAAACGTGCCACAGTATGACTTACATGACACTGAACTTCTGCAGACTTTGAATTACGTCGACGCTACGCATTCTGCTCTGAGCACAGTATATAAGGACGTCACCAACGGCGTCCTTCTCGCAATGCTTGACGACTTGGCATTCCCTGTTCATATTATCAGATTATATTTCATGAAACGAAACAGCACCGACAGGTCATACCAGTGCCCGACAAGGTGAGGTGGAACGACGATCAATGTTGTTTTGACGGGGTCGTCTGGGTTAACGCATCTTCCATCAACAATATTGGCTAGAGCGCAACAGTTAACGTTTACCACGCACGGAATTTGGCAAATTCTACTTACCTAGAGCCTGAATAGTTTTGCCATAACCCATAACATCGCAAAGAAAGCCCCCAAAGGGCGGACTGGCCGAATTCTCCCGATCACGCTGTTGACATTAGTCGTCTTTCTCAATCTACCCTAGCATTTGCTTACCATCCACGCTACACCGAGGAGCTATTGTCACGCGTTAGTTTGGATAATCAAAGCATGTTGAAGGTGTTCAAACCTGATGATGGAATAGACTAGTCTTCATGCCCTTTATCCTCCACCCGCCCTTTCCATCAGATCTTGCTTTATGCCTGAACTTTGTGGTTGCCTCGAGGATTGCCTGCCTGTCGGACTTGGCCTGATCCTGATCGGCAGAAGGGATGCTAGCGACAAGTTCGGTAAGCACAGTTTGCTTGTTTTTGGAATTAGATATCGGAATTGCCGGAAGCCCAGCGTTTGCTTGAGCGTCAGCGATAACATCAGGATTGAGAAACGCGTTTAGGTCGAACTCCGAATCAAACAAATTCCTGCTAACGTCACCGCTAGCTGGGACATCTTCATCGCTGTCTTCTGCTTTTCGCTTTCGAGAGCGTTTCTTTCCTGATCCCCTCTTCCTCGTTGCACATCCTAAGGCAATGTCGAGACCTAACCGCATACTTCTGCGTCTTTCTGCAGCAGAGACCCGATTCTTCTGCTTTCGTGGGCCTCTCGAAGGTCGATTTCCAGATACCATATCCGAGCGCTTACCAGTGTCTCCGGGTAATGCTCCAAGCGACGAATTGAGCGGCTCATCATCAGATAAATCCGGAAAAGACTCAAGGATCTGTTCTGCCTCTTCCAGAGCCTTCCGGTTGGCAATCCTCCGCCTGCGCCGAGACTCTTGCTGCTTTGCTTTTTCATATTGTACCTTTTCCTCGAGAGTCGGGTTCTCAAGGGTATTGTACCATGTCTCCATAATATCGAACCTACCACTGTCAGTCAAGTGGGTATCTGAAACGCTATCATTTGGCTTACCCTGTAGAATCTTCTTCCTGGACCTCAGGCCATTCAGACGCGACATTTTCATCAACCGATCCCTGAGTCCCTGTAACCGCAGGTGCGTCAGGGGCTTCGGAGGGTTTCGACGATGAGGCCACCACAGGTTGTGGCTCATCCAGATTCATCCGATCCTCAACGGCCGTCGCACCACTTGAAGTTTCGGTCGATACATTGTCTTGCTCCTGGGACATGGCTGTAAGGCCATTGCTTTCGCTCGCATTCCCATTCTGGGAAGCTACATATTGCCGAATTTGCTCAATCTCATTATCGTCAAGGATATTGTCCGCCGGCTGGCTCACAAATAGCTGATTGTCGAAAGGAGCAGGTGCTGTGCAAGTTATTGATGGTACAGGAGCCGAGGGAGGTGCTGCTGTATCGTTGGGAATGGAAGTCGTAGGGACATTGTTCCGTAAAGCCAAAACGCTTCGGGCATAGAGGGCTTTTGATGCTGTTTGCTGTCGACGTGCATCTATATCCTCTAACTGAGAAAGGTCGATATCTAGTTCAGATGGTCCGGGTTCTGGCGATATATTGTCACTTCTTTGTGGAGGATCGAGATCCATGGCTGCGAGCAAGGAGGAGAGTCACAACGTAGGCTATTGGATATAGACGATTGAGATAACCAAGTAAGGCCGATGATCAGAGGTTACAAAAATGGTTTTCAACGGCTCCCCTTCTGCGGTGCTTGGAGAAGATAGGTTTGGGAGGAGGACTGTAGTTTGTAAGAGGGAATAACCAGAGCTGAGAGGGAGTGGTGCGGAAAGAAGGCGAATCTGCTGGTATATTGGAGAGCAAGGAAGGAAGATAGAAGAATGAGAGGAAGATGTAAGAAGGGAAGAAGATAGAAGACGGAGATGATCGTTTGAATTAGGCTTTTGTAGACTGGAGGTAGGAAGATGAGGCCAGTATGATATGAAACCTGAGCATAAGGGTGAGAAGCGAGTGAAAGGAGATGAGACGAGAGAATTGAGAGATATACTGCAGGAACAAGCGAGGTCTAAGTAGATAACTGGTTTCAACTTAATCCGAGTTTAAGAGAGTGATGGGGTGAGTAGCAGAGTAGGAATATGAAAGAAAGAGAAGCAAGGTATAAGCTCGAGATGTGCTGGGAGCGTCAGGTCGGATTAGGGCAAATGGTGAGGTCAAGGTGAGATGTCTATAGAGAACGACTTGAGAAAGCGACCTCGTAGAAACGTGCCGAAAGTGAGAGCAAGGGAAGATAAGGCAGTTGGTATGTGATGACAGGCCTCAACAAAGAAGCGTGCCTGCTTAATAAAACGGATGTGATTTGTTATACGAGGGCATGTAGAGAATGGCAGATCTGAATCCGATGTAGTATGGGAGAAATGCTAAGAACGAACCCAGTAGAGCCCATACGCCTTAACCATCAATCTAATACGGAATGTCAACAGCAATCCCAGCCGAAAGTGAGAGAAAATCGAATAGCGGAGAAAACAAACAGGTATCATCACTCATGATCATTTGCTCCATAGGTATGCCCGCCATATATATGGTAATCCTTGACCCTGAAACCGAAGAAGAGAACACTACCGATTAAGCCTCCTCGTAGGCACAGTTAGGATGCAGCACATAGACTGTCCGTTGAACTTGCTCTTGCTGGTCCCCATCAGCGTCCACCAGACCCTCTCCTCGGATTGGCATGAGGATATTTTCCTGTTGTGCCGAAAATAGTCAGTAAAACCAGCGGCGGCAAAGACACTTGCTGTCAGTGAAGAACGAACCTTGACCATCCTTTTCAAAACTTTGCCAGCCAGGTCGCGCTCCCGCTGTAGGTCTTCCTCGTTGTTCAGCTCAGACTCAATTTGCTCCAGGTACCAGACAATCAGATCTTCTTGCTCGACACCTTCGCCCGACCTCGATTCGTCCTCACTCACGCGCCGAACAAACAGATTCAGGATCTTCATGTACTTGTCATATGTGATCTTCGTCTTCTGACGCTGTTGTGCTTCCGCATGATCACGCATGGGACTGTCACCTTCCCTGTCCCGATCAGCCATCTCGTGGTCCTCTTCACCAGCGCCTGCATTCGCATGCGTGCCTTCGTCGTCGTCAACTTCAACATCATCCTTCTCGACGGTGACGATACTCTGGCGTAGGAGGTCATAGGCCTCGCGTACAAAGCTCGGTACGATCTCCTCTACACAGTTGGCCTTGGCAACAGCCTCGGAGAGACGAACCAAAGACTCGAGTTGACGGACTGTGATCCGATAGGAAGAGCGGCCAATGCCTCCTTGAGCGTCGTTTGCTCGCAGCTCTTTGTACTTCTCAACAAGCAAAGCCTTAGCTTCTTCCGTAAACACGGGTCTGAAGGTCCGCGCAAACCGAATGTAGCGCTGCAACTGCTCCGTGCTCAGTTCTGGCTGGACGGCCTCATCACGATTCATGTGCACGTTGACAATGTGATCAGCCAAATTACGATCCACCGTTTCATTCGGCTCATCTCGAATCACAAAGAACAAGTCGAATCTGCTCATGATAGGAGCACTGAAGTTGAGATTTGCGCGCAATGTAGCCTTCGGGTTATAACGACCACCAACAGGATTAGCAGCTGCAAGAATCGACGCACGAGCATTGAGCGTAGTATGAATGCCCGCTTTGGCAATAGAGATAGTTTGTTGTTCCATTGCTTCATGGATGGCAACTTGATCGCTGATGTCCATCTTGTCGAACTCGTCGATAGCACAGATACCGCCTCCGTTCTATTGTGTGTCATTGAGTCAGCATAGGAATAGCGTGTGGAGAGCGGGAGCGCGACGTACAGCAAGCATCAGAGCACCGGCTTCAATAGTAAATTCACCAGTCTCGGCATCTTTGACGACAGATGCGGTCAGACCAGCCGCAGATGATGCCTTGCCGCTAGTATAAACAGCGCGAGGATGCAAAGAACAGATGTACCTGGAAAGAAAAAGGTTAGGGGAGTCCAAAACGGCACAGAGATCGCGTTGGCAGGGTCGAAAGCATACTTTAAGAACTGACTCTTGCTTGTCGAAGGATCACCAACAATGCAGATATTAATATCACCACGCAATTGCATGTTCTCCTGCTCCGTATGTTTGCCGACGCCTCCAATCAATTGCAGAAGCAACCCCTTCTTGATCTGCCGGTGGCCGTAGATCATAGGGGCGATTGAATCTACCAATCGGGAGTAGATATACTCTGAGTGAACCAGATTCTTCAAGTCCTGCACTTCGTATGGGGTGAAACTCTGAAGGAGAGCCTCCTGGGCTTTGTCCTCGTCGACTTCTGGTTCATTGTTTTGGTTCAATGAAGCCAGGATGTTGTGGGATTGGCCGTTCAACTGCTGATTCGACTGTTGGCCAGGAGTTGTTGTGTCAGGTGTAACCATACAGGCAAGGAACGCCAGTCGATAAGTCAAGTCTCTGACACCCAGTGACTTGAGACCAGTGACACCTCCTCCACCAACGTCGCCACTCCGGAAAGCACCGTTATCGCGAACAGCCTCCGGTCGTACACCTGGAAGTCCCAGTTGACTGACGTCAGGAATTACAATCAGTGTACCGGTGAAGATGCAACGTTCACCAGCCTTGGCACGGTCGACCATCTCACCACGCAAGATCACATCCATGGTGCGGGGCATGCTCCCAGTTGGAATTTCGTGCGATGACTCCTGCAGTTTCACCTTTTGCCAGTCAACGAATGTGCTCTTCCCAATATCCAGGCGCCATCCAGAGCGGTTCATGCAAATGTCGTTTGGGCACTGTGTTGGCTCGGTGTAGCGGAAGGTCTGTTCCACATTCGAGACAACCGATTTGCACTGCTCACAAACGAAGGTCCCAAGAGAGAGCTCAGGCCGGATCTCGGACGTCCGAGTAACGGTACCGGAGATAGAGAGCAGCTTTCCAATTTGGGAGGTACGGAGTTGGCGCAGTCTAGAGACCAACGGCAGGTTGTAGAACGCCAAAGAAAACAGCTTGTCAGTCTGCTGATGGCGGGTTTTCTCCCGCATATTCCGCTCCAAGTCAGGGTTTTCGGTCACGCTTGCATTGGCGGCCATCATGGAGGAGCTAGCCTGGGAGGAGGCACTGCTGGCTTGACGATGAGAGATGAAGTATTCGGGTTCATATTTCGCAATTAAATTGTGAAGGGCTCTTGTTAGGAAGGGTTGGAATCGAAAGTATTGGTTGGCGATAGCATCCGCCAGAATCTGGTTATTGAGAGAAGTCAAGTGGGTAAAATCGACATAGAGGGTTGAAAGCTCGAATTTCTTCATGCCGTGGATTTGTGCGATATAATATTTGTCACTCAGTATCTCCGACGATGGTGGAGGCGCCGACAACGACGGTTCCTCCACATAGGTCTCGAGCAGTTCCTCAAAGGCCTGCTGTACTTTCTCTCCGGCCAAGTCGACCACCGGGGGAGGCCCAGGAAGATAGGGATTGCGAAGTCGACTTACAGTCGACCGGCTAGGGTTCACGACTTGGTCATCGGGGAAGCCGCCATGTATCTCGCTCAACGGGCCATTGCTCTCGGATGGCGGTTGTGGCCGAGAGCTGGGGAGGTGGTCTGAATGGAGCCTATTGTCACGGGAGCCAGCTGTCGACCCCAATTCAGATTGAAGTACGGCGTCAAAAAGGGAAGACATTTTGGGCGAGAGCGGACGGCCAGAATAGGGCCGCTATGGATAGGACAATTGCAAAATCGAGGAACGATTGAATATTGTTATTCGATTTGAATAGTATTTTAGGAACAAGACTTTTTCAGTATCGTGACGTTGAGCAAGGCGGTCTGATGAAAGCGTTGATAGCGTCAATAATAATCCCCTCGGAGTCTTAACTTTCTTCTCTCAGAGATACGCGTCTAAGACGCGACGCGCGGCGGAGAAATAGATAGTGCGATATCAACGCGTAAAGTGGTTTTTGTATGCTTACCTCAGCAGCTGTGCACGGATCTCTGACACAGCAGACTTATCTGTTGCCTATTCGGGTAATAGGTCCTGACGGCGACTCGGCCATAACCGTGGCGGAACCCAGCAGTTGGCAGCCTTCGGCCAATAGCGCATCAGGACACCAATTATTTCGGCTTTTGACATTCTGACGAGCCAATCGAAATGTCGTCTCAGAATCAACTTGACTTTTGGGGGTTGACTATCGGGGCTCTTCGTCGACCCTAGTCCCCTCTTACGACCCACTGCCCTGCTGGTCTCTCAACTCCTCTTAGTCTCCTCATCCATCATAAGAACGGGCAAGTCGGGTCGGGAGCTGATCATCGCCAGGTCGTCCCTATCCTCGACGACGACTTGATCGCCAAGCTTATGACATCGCCTGAATTTTCGGAAGCTGTGGTTATGGGTTGACTTCTTTCAACATTACTGTTTCGTGCTGACGGTATCCCGGCAAATCGCACAATCCGCTATGCAGTCATAACATAATCCTTGCTTGTTAAGTACGTCAGTCATCGAAGGAGTCTCCTGCCACCTGCTAGCTCGTGATGGCTGCACCCAGGCACGCTCTGCCCAACTTGTCGCAGTTTGCACCTCGGACTGGAGTAATCGACACCACTTGCGAAAGCCAACCAAGTCAGTGCACCCCTCCAACTACAGACTTTGCTCGAAGTCTTCCGAGCTGGCTGACGCTGGCTTTGCCGTTGACAGTTCGCCCCAACGATGGGCTACAACCTTCTACGAAATCAAAGAGGCGGAGGCGTCTCTCGGCGACAGAAGATCAGCCTGCGAAAGACAGGATATTCTTTTTTGTCGATTCGAATTCTTCATCGCGGGAAAAGCGGGCGTATGTCATGCGCCACCACGTCCAGGAAAAGCGACGGCAGCGCAAACATTTACACCCTCACAACTCAGACGATAGAAGGAATAACCGACCCCTTCGGTATCTCCCTTGGAAGCAGAAGACGAACGAAAAGGACGACCTCGACGGAATCGATGCAGTTGGAGGAACTGAAAGTGAGACAGTGTCTCAGAGTAACGCCTTGGTACGTGGTCATCACTTCTGAGTTGATTGAGCGGATCGTGCGTGATGTACAAAGTTCCCATTCGAGGAATTCTCCACACGATGTGTGCGTTGGTCTTTACAAACGAAAGGACGCTAACATAGGATGTCTAGATCCAGACACGCTTTCCCACGCCTAGACCCGCAGTCAGTGCTTATAACAAACCCCTTCTTACGTCGCCCATTGGCTTGCTTGATGCATCCAGTCAAGACCCTTTCCACAGTCTACCGATGGTCTGCTCACAAGAAGATCTTGAGCTGATTGATTGTTGGACAAACAAACTCACATATTGGTCTGGTCAAAATAAGTACATTAAGGACCAGATTTTCCGCTCTGCCATGGTTCACCCATTACCTTTCCAAGCGGTCGTGCTTGGCTATTGTTCCCGATGGAAGGCTCATATTCATAATTTGACGGATAGCCGACAAGTTCAAACTCATATTGGACAAGCTACGCGAAACATAGAAAAGATCAGAACAGGGTTGATGGATATCGACGGAGACAATCTCGCCATGGCATTAACAGGATTGTCGCTGCAAGAAGAAAGATTCGGTAGCCAGCAAAAGGCCCGAGAATATGCTGACCAGGCTGTCCAGATTCTTCGATCCCAGGGCGGGACTCGCAAAGGTGTCCAGGTATTCTTGCATTATGTGCTATATGTCGCGATATCTCCACGGCCAACCGTCGACAAAGTCGGCCAACGGTGGCTGGTCACGTTTCTTCGCGCGGCCGAGGAAATGATGCATAAACACACATCAGCTGCGTGCCTGTCATCTGTTCCCCTGCGACGAGAGGCATTTCAAATGGATGGCTTATTGTTCCCTTTGCTTTCCAGCGGGCCACGCCCATCACAAGTGCCGCACACTTCGCGCCTATACGTGGTGCGGGATACGCCCAGCCAGGAGATCTGCCGTACTGCGGCACTCATCTATATTGCGACAACTTTATGGGATTTCCAAGACTCGCCGAGTAAAATGAATCGTTTCCTCAACTACGTTATCACGGTCGTGAAGCAACACAAGCTTGATCGTCATCCTGCATGCGAGACTCTAGTATGGCTCTTATTGGAAGAAGGATACGAAGCAGATATGAGGGATTCCGAACGAGCATGGTCTACCGGCGAGCTATTGAAGACACACAAGCAACTTCGACCAGACCTACAATTCCAGTTCAATGAAATATTACTGAGCCTGTTAATGCTCACGCCGCCCGTGCGCGGTATTGATGCTTTTGAGGAGGAGCTCAACGCCGCTGCACCTGAAATTGTGGAGCAGCTTTGAGACGCTGCGCAGGATTTGTTGACGGAGCGGCTAGTCTTGGGTGATCTGACCTATACCATTTTCCTAGTATATATTTTTCTAGACATGAAGTTTTCCTCGCCTAGGGATGTGGGCTCCGGTTTGCAGGCGGCCGTGCTCATCCCATTTTGCCAATTTAACGACTCGAACAATTGCTCCGACTGTCTTTTCATTCTTAATTTTGATTCTATGTATTTCCATATCGTACAAGCTATACTTACAAGTCACTGCTGCTGCGCCACATACCTGTGTTTCTAACCCGGCATGCAAGGTTTGCTCGAAGAGGTCCTCCGTACAATGTGCGAGTCATCAGAATCTTCAAACAATGCTGCATGGAGTAACGAATTTCCCATGCCACATGTTGATCCTTGGGCCACCTCGTAGGCGTATAACTTCTACATTGCGCAAAATCATAAAGACACAAAAGGGGGGAGCATCAATTGGTGTAAGCGTCATCGATTCCTGATCAGTTCTGAAGACTGTAGATCATACTACTATCCAGGCATCCACCGAGTGCTCCATTTGGCTGTGACTCTAATCTCTATAGATCGTGCTGCAGAACGGACCATGGGTGGTTCAGGTGGAGAGGATCTCGTGAACCGAAGACCGATGTACACCCTTATTAGGTGAAAGATTCATGCGGTTATTACTGCATATTTCGATGGGGTGCATGAAGATCGTTATTACTTTGCGAAAGGTTCCCTTGAAATATGCAGAGGGTGCATCTAGTGAACTTTCAACTGTACATAATTTGATTCCGATTCTGGGATAAGAATCAAATATTAGTGGGCACGTATCACACTGCATAATGTACGGAGTGTGGAGTAGTCTAGTAGATAACTTTTCGAATATGTGAAGTGAACTGTGGCTGGTGAGACCAAATGCTGTACTTACTACTAGTGTCTTAAGTACTCGGAGTAAGTGGGTTAGGCGGGCTCAAGCATTACTTTGCCGCTTTAGGAAATCGCGATTCGTACCTTACCCGTCCTGCATGTTACATCCCTGCTCCCTCCACTCTGCCAAGGTACTGAAATAATAATAATGATGATACAGCCATGACGTGCAATCAAACCCGCCGCTCATCATATGATTTGATCTGTTGGAGATCATACCTGGTCCTTGGACGACTTCGAAAGCTGAATTGACTTTGCCCCTTGAACGTGGGGAGATGATCGAAATGGATGTAGTACTTCGTAATGAGGGTAGCATTTGTTCCTGATCAGAGAGGTACAGTGAGGTACAATACTCCATACCTACCGTAGGTACTCCCGTCGTGAGAGGTATGTGGTACCCGACATAGGAAGGTTTTAAGGAGCTGAGCTGGTGGTCGCAAAAATTTGCCACAGATTGAATTCATCACGACGCAAGTGGGGCGCACTTCCAGATCTAGTGGAGCCAAGTCATCAGCCCAGCCAGACATTGGCCAATGTATATGCAGGAGGGGTGTCGACCAAGCCGATAGAGTACTAGCGCTAGCGAAGTAAAAATATGTCACGAGCTGGGCAACTATTGGAGCTAGTTTTGTTAGTGAACCACGTTGCGACTGGGGAATTTGCTGCTCAACAGCTCAAGGAACTGGAAAGTAAAAGCAAGGCACTTGCGAGACAGGTAGAGATATTTTATGAGACAGGTGGGCGGATAGAGTCATATTGCAATCTCATTAAACATGACGGAGCGATAGGTGTGGACCTGATAAGTAAATTATGTCATGCTAGGTGGCTGCAAGCTGTAAGTAGAGGTTTCGGTTTCAGCTAGTGAGCTAGAGAGTGTAAACAAAGTCCCATGCCACCTAGGAGCTGAATTTGCCTTATCGTCATCATCGATTCGTCCCGCCGTCCCAAAGACCAGGTCTTTCTCCAGTGTGGCTCAAAGTCTGGATTTTGGGGCGGATCTACCTTACCTATCTCGTGCTTTCGCTACAGAGGAGTTTCACTGTACTCGACTTCGGCTTTTCGCTCCTCTTTATTTTAGCAGTGCACACTACGTATTGAGACCCGGGAGATTCCAAATTCCCCCCATTCCTCGTGCATCAATTGGCGTGCACGGCATGTGCGAGTTGGATCCTTCAAACCTTTGAGTGGTCCGACATCGTTTCAATTTCCGACCCAAATAAACTTCGCGTGGAGGACTCTCCGACGTCAAGCTGTTGCTGAGCGTATCGCTCGCCCACGTCCCCTTAGGATTCTGTTCCTTGGTCTCTTCGTCTGTCGCTTGACCCTTTCCTATTAGTCCTAATTTCTTTTTCACAGGCCTCTCGCCCTAGGTCCTCCTTTCCATTTTTTTTTTTTTTTCCTTCTACTATCTACCATTTCTCTCTTGTTTCTCGCTGTGTGACTCGACTCCTTCTGTACAGTGTCGCTCCCTATTGCATCTTGGATGCTTGGAACGTTCAAACAGCTCCCGACTTTTTGACCGCTAAAAGCGCAAACTAGGTCGACTCGGCAATTCCTCCCCTAAGCGCTGGGGAGTGAGTCGACAGAATCAAAAATGGCCTTCTACGGCGATATGGCTGGTCTGCACCAGCTGTCGCGTCGTGCGGTAAGTACCAGGAGTTGCGATGGACTGCGATAGCAATCCACCTTGGGTTTTAACGGAACACTGACGAAACCCCTCTAGGATGAGGACCCCGACAATGCATCCAACTCGGCTTCTAGCTTGGTGTCCACTCTGGTTCCTGCCCTAGCGGTAGCTGGCATCATGATCCTGGTCTTCGTGATTCTGCGGCGAAGCGAACGTCGCATGTACATGCCCCGAACCTATCTCGGCTTTATGCGCCCTGAGGAACGCAGTCCCCCCGTCGGCACTGGCCTGTGGAATTGGATTATCGATATGTACAAGTTACCCGACGAATACGTTTTGCAGCATCATTCTATGGACGCTTATCTTCTGCTTCGCTTCCTGAAGTTGATTTCAGTGATTTGCTTTGTCGGCTGCTTGATAACTTGGCCCATATTGTTTCCCGTCAATGCCACAGGTGGAGGTCACAAAGAGCAATTGGATATCTTGACCATGTCCAACATTGCACAGGATAAAAACGCTCGCTACTACGCCCACGCCTTCGTCGCTTGGATCTTCGTCGGTCAGTAAACACTGCGCAATGGTATTTCACTATCTCTTTTTTTCTCGAGGTCTGATTGAGTGGCAGGATTCGTGTTCATGACTGTCACCCGCGAGGGCATTTTCTATATCAACCTGCGCCAGGCTTATTCCCTCTCTCCCGCCTACGCCAGCCGACTCTCATCGCGAACCGTTCTTTTCACAGCTGTGACTGAAGACTATCTCAACCGTGACAAGATCCGGAAAATGTTCGGCATTGAAAAGGTGAAGAACGTTTGGATCGCTACCGACGTCAAGGAGCTAGAGGACAAGGTCAAGGAACGGGATGCTGCCGCTATGAAATTGGAAGCCGCCGAAACGAAACTGATTAAGCTTGCAAACGCTGCGCGAGCCAAGGCCTTGAAGAAAGGGGGTAATGTCGAGGATGATGCTGTGCCACTCGAGAACTTGTCTGATGAGCCAGACGACGAATCGGGCTCTGTGGCAGCTCGCTGGGTCAAGGCTTCCGAGAGACCCACGCACCGCCTGAAATTCCTTATCGGAAAGAAAGTCGATACGATCAACTGGGCCAGGTCAGAGATTGAGCGGCTCAGCCCGGAAATCGAAGAGCTCCAGGCTAAGCACCGTGCGGGCGATGCCAAGCTGGTTTCATCCGTCTTTGTCGAATTCTACGCTCAAGCGGACGCGCAACTTGCGTTCCAGTCGGGTATGTCAGGCTTCGGATTTTGATTCAACGAACGTTTAGGTGATCGTCAATGCTAACTAGCAAATGTGGTCAGTCGCTCACAATCTACCTCTGCACATGGCCCCTCGTTACATTGGTCTGGACCCTACACAGGTCATCTGGTCGAACTTGCGCATCAAATGGTGGGAGCGCGTCATCCGTTACTCTGCCACAATTGGACTTGTCTGCACTCTCATCGTCTTCTGGGCAATCCCCGTCGCTGTCGTCGGTTCCATCTCGAACATCGACTCTCTAACGGACAAGGTCCACTTTCTCAAATTCATCGACCATGTCCCCGGCTGGATCAAGGGTGTCATCACTGGTCTTTTGCCCACTATTTTGATGTCTGTGCTCATGGCTCTGTTGCCCATTTTTCTGCGATGTAAGCCGGGTCTTCCCAAAACCAACGTGACGACAGAGCTGTACTGATCGTGTGTTCCAGTGATGGCCAAGCTCGGTGGCGCCCCCAGCGCGGCAGCTGTTGAGCTGACTACACAGAATTTCTACTTCGCTTTTCAAGTCGTTCAAGTCTTCCTCGTTGTGACCTTGGCTTCCTCGGCGGCTAGCGTTGTGACCAAGGTCATCCAGCAGCCTACTTCTGCTCCCCAGCTCCTCGCGACGAGAATCCCCAAGGTTTCCAACTTCTACATTTCCTATATCATTCTGCAGGGTCTTTCTTTCAGTTCCGGTGCCCTGCTTCAGATCACCGGCCTGATCTTGGGCAAGATTCTGGGCAAATTGCTGGACTCTACCCCGCGAAAGATGTACAACCGCTGGTCGTCCCTCGCCGGTTTGGGTTGGGGAACCGTATATCCTCCCTTGACCCTTCTTGCAGTCATCGGTAAGGCTTCGTACCCGTTGATATCATATTAGTTCCCTGCAGCTAACGATGTTGTCCCGTTGGGAATAGCTATCACCTACTCGTGTATCGCTCCGTTGGTGCTTGGTTTCGCGACCATTGGTCTGTACCTGTTCTATTTCGCCTACCGGTACAACATGCTCTACGTGTCAAATGCCAATATAGACACTCAAGGCAAGGCTTACGCTCGCGCCCTGCAGCACATTACTGTGGGCTGTTACTTGCTTGTGGTCTGCTTGATCGGCTTATTTGCCATCGGAACTGCAGCCAATCGGATGGCACTGGGCCCCTTGATCTTGATGATTATCTTCCTTGTCTTCATGATTCTTTACCACGTTTCTT